AACTATGTTATGAAAGATATAACAGAATGATTTGATATACCATTATCAAATCAAAAGATGCTATATGCATCATATGTGTAAAATGTCCATAAACTGGCATTCCCATTAAATACAATGTATCTATACACTGTACTAATTTGCATATTAATGTGTTCTTGGGGCAACATGTAATGAAAAAAGAAGAGCAAGCCAGGCGCGGCTTGTCTATATGGGCAGGTGGGGCATGCCCCACCAAAATATTCATCCAAAACATAGACCTCTATATAAACTGAATCATTAATAAATTGTAAATGTGTTCAGCATTCTCCAACAAATATGTTCCGGATTTTCTAGACTATTTTAAGTCGTAAAGTAAGCAGTATATATTAAAATCCCGCGCATGGCTTTTGCAGGCATGTATACATGATACTAAGCGGGGCAGATGGTGCCTGAGCCCTCCCGAATTCAACAGCGCCCCACAATTTTGCAATGCAAATCTGTGGTGAATAGGGGAACTGCATCGCGCTCTAATTGAGAGCCATTGGGGCAGATTTGAGATTGCCCCGCTTATTTTCACGTTACCTTACGTGAACTTCGCTCCATGCACCAAGACGATATCAATCCGCTTCAGCTATGTGTCTGCATCAGGTCAGTAACTAGTTGGCATGTCTGTTTTTTTTTTTCTATGTGGAGTAGTGGATCAAATTAACAAAGTAGGCTATACGTTAAATCCTTTAGTTTAAATGTGCTCACATGAATAGCCTTATATGGTTCTGTTGTTTGTTTTGTTTATTCTGAAAATAGACATATGATCTTCTTTACTCACCCGAATTGCTCCACAACTTGTAACATTTTAAATCAACTTTTGGAGGTGATAAATATTATATTAAGGCAATTATTATACAGCATTTTATGCCTGTAACATTACTTCGAGCCTGTCAATCAACATTTGCGCGCCACCCACAGGATAACGCAAGGACATCTCTGCCAAAATGTGTTCAGAGATTAGAATATAAAGTTTACAAAATGTTTTTCATATATTAGTGCTACGACCCAGAATCTGCCCCACCTAAATTTACGGTCAGGAGCCGCTACTGGAGAAAGCACAGGTGACGTTCAGTGTGTGCGTTTGTATTTATGAAATGACCTCCATTAAAAAAAAAACATCACCTCCAGAAAGGGGATCTTTCAAGTTTTACACAATCCCACCAGCCAGGAAAGTTTCTTAGATTTGTGGTCACTACATTTATTGTGCAAAACATGTGGTCAGTCATACACTGATGCAATCCAATCCAAATCCTCTGAAAGCAACAGTCCTCTATTTATTAAAGGGGTCATATGATGCTTTTTTAAAGATCATTATTTTGTGTATTTGGTGTAACAGAATATGTTGACATGCTTTAATGTTCAAAAAACACATTATTTTTCAAATACTGTACATTATTGTAGGTCCTCTATGCCCCGCCTCTCTCAAACGCTTCGTTTTCTACAAAGTCCCTCCTTCTGACAAGAGCAGTCTGCTCTGATTGGCCAGCTGACCCAGTGCATTGTGATTGGCCAAACACCGCAAGCACTCGTCGGAAATGTAACTACCCTTACCATAATTGTGAGCTTCATCTTTCAAAATAAATGTAAAGACAGAGCCCGAAAGGGGAACAGAGAAAACTTGAAATCGCATCATATGACCCCTTTAAAAATCTTCTTGACTAAGGAAAGAAATGTTGTGGTTATCGCATCTGAAACACCACACCCACAGTGAAACAGAACAGGCAAGTGTAACAGGCACAACAAGGAGCTCTCTTTACATACATACACAGAAAAGGAGGACAAGCATGTACATGTACCCAACACAAAATTACCATGCATTATACAATCATTAGACAATTTCTGACATATATTTTATTTATTGTTATATTAGTTTTATATAATTAACCATTTAAAGAACGATAAATCCATTTAATTATGCATAAATCATCATTGTCATGACTCATGAGTGCAAAAATATTTACCTATGATATATATTTTTTTTTATTTCTGTATTCCCTGATTATAAAGTGGAGTGTAAGTGGAGTCAGCAATTCATTAATTGTGGCTTTCAAATGCTTATAGTAGAAACTCCTGGTGTAAATCTCAAAACACTCAGTCCAGGGCTGCGTTTCCCAAAACCTAAGTACATTGTAAGATCTATTTCAAGCGGCAACCTCCCGGTCTCTGCTTGAAACCAACACGGAAGTGAGTAAAACTGCAATTCATCGGCTGGCTCCAAAAGGGAGTCAGTCCCATAGACCTGCCATGTTAAAATGCCCAACTTTACAGCAGAAAAAAATGTGTTTACAGCCTGGTACAAAAAGTGGTTTTGGTCTATATAGGTAATTTTACCCTTCATGACAACTGAGGGGGGGGAATTTTTTTTTAGAACTCATCCGTTTAAATTATATTAAAGGGTTAGTTCACCCAAAAATGAAAATTCTGTCATTAATTACTCACCCTCATGTCGTTTCAAACCCGTAAGACCTTTGTTCATCTTCGGAACACAAATTAAGATATTTTTGATGGAATCTGAGAGCTGTCTGACCCTGCATAGACAGCAACACAACTGAAATGTTCCCAAGTCCAGAAACGTAGCAAGGAGATCTGTAAAATAATCCATGTGACATCAGTGGTTCATCCGCAATTATACGAAGCTACGAGAATACTTTTTGTGCGCAAAAGAAAAAAAAGCAACAACTTATTCAACAATTCCTCTCTTCCGCATCACCCTGGTGCCATTTTGGAGAATATCCGCTGGACGTATGCTGTTCTGTGTCAGCTGCGTCACGCCGGATCTGTTTCCTATGTTGTTGTGATTTGATCTGAACGGAAACAGCATATCCGCGTGACGCAGCTGACACAGAACAACATACGTCCAGTCTGGTCTGACCAGCTTAAGACCAGCACATGACCAGCTAAGGACCAGCATAAACCAGCAAAGGACCAGCTTAAACCAGCAAAGGACCAGCATAAACCAGCAAAGGACCAGCATAAACCAGCTCAAACCAGCATCCCAGCTTCAAAACATACCTAACCAGCATATGCTGGTTTTTTCAACAGGGTGGAAATCTGGCAATTAGATGTTTTAATGACAATGATCTCAAACTTGATTTTTACCGCTATTTTGAAGTTATTGTAGGTACTTTGCCTTTGCACTGTCTGCAAAAAGTGAGATGTCACGCCAAGGCAAAAGGCAGTAACTTACACATTTTTATATACAATATTTGGGTGCTGATCACCATTTACAGAATCATTATAGTAACATCTGTATAAAATCTAGTGATCATTGTCTAGGCTATAACATGTAATGTGATTCAGTTTTTTTTCTGACCGTAACAACCAGACAAAAAGTTATACGTGAGTGGAAACCGTTTTGCAACCAATTTATTTGTGATGTTTGCTAACATTAAAGGATGCAAGACATACTTAGCCTATTGTTTTTACATCAAACTGAATGAAAATAGCTTAACCTATAAGAACGACTTGTGGATTGATGTGAACGGCATCAGGAATAATGCTCAGAATGATTGTGAATTAAACATCTCCGATGGCGTTCATTGCAATGGATTTTATCGAGTTACAAGAAAAGGTAGGAAAAGGATTTAATTGCGAACAGTTATTGATTTTATGTGTGATAAACTGTCACGGCATTTCTTATGTTCTTACATTTTATTTATTTTTTTCCTTTTTATTCGAAACATTCCCAAACGCATTAACTATATCATGAAATATCTCGATTCTCACCTTTATAGATTATGTTACTTGATCTATAGTGGGCGATGGTCAAAGTAGCCTAATAATGTAGGCTAGTCTATTAAGTATACATAAAATCCTGTCTGTTTGCTTAAAGCTGCAGTCCATAACTTTTCTTGGTTAAAAATGTTTGAGCAAGTACATAACCAGCCAGTGTTCAAAACTATCGCGATTGTAATTCAGAAAGGATTATATGAAACAAATGTGAATTAAATGAAATTATATTCCAGTTTTAAATGTGCTGCTGATTACAGATAGCGTGGGATTACACAAGATTTGTATTTTAAAGACAACCAGTTCGAAGGGAGCATACATTTCTTTTTGGGTTAAAAGAATTTCTTAATAAGAAATTCGAATGGTATGACAATTAGACTTGAAAAGAGATTAGACTGTACAGAAATTGAAATCTACACGCTAATACACACTATACTTATAGTCACGCAATGCTGATGTTGTTAACATTAATCATTTGAGAATGAAGTATAACAATAATAATAATTTGCACGGTTTGATGTGATATGAGCTAATCGATCGTTAGATTAAATCACCAGTGGCAGCGTGATTTATTGTAATGTTTTTTTCCTCAGTTGGTCAGAACAAACGTGGCGGACTTGTTACTTACTTGTTCAGATGACAATATACGGTGAAAATTCTTATTTGGGTCATATATTCCAAGACGTAGGCTAGAATCTGTGACTACTAAGTATAGGATCCACACAGGTGCGGTGACTGACTGCCACACATACTCCTCAAAACATTAGATTAATCCGTGCTGGAGCTGTGCCAGAGTACAAGGCAAGGAAGATAATTCCGCAAGAAACTGCAATTCCAGGTTTTCAAACAAAGATGGCGACAAAGAGGCAAAACGTCTCCGGTTACTATCGTAACCTCGGTTCCCTGAGAGCGGGAATGAGACATCACGGAGAAATTTCTCCGTTATGGGAACTTCTTCCCTTCCAACCTTTCCTGAAGTTTTATTGGCTCACGCCAGTCCAAATGACTGGCCAATTGTCGCGAAGTATGCAAATCGCATACAAATACTGACACGATCGAGAGGCAGTATGAAATGCGGTGCACGTGACAATTACATCAGAATCTGATACTGAACGCCGCTTAGCTGGTCGAGCAGCAAACACGGCGACCTCCTTGATGTCTCGTTCCCGCTCTCAGGGAACAGAGGTTACGATAGTAACCGGAGATGGCGACATCTCCAAAAACCGGAGACGTTCCCTCTCGAGCTTTCACGAGACATCACGGAGACATTTCTCCGTTATGGGAACGATATTCAATCCTGCCGTGAGAGAGGCTACGAGCAGCCTGTACAAGTCACATACTCAGCGAAGATAGAACACACAATTCCCACAACCAATAGCGACGCTTGCTAGGCGGGCTCGCAGCTGATAGTTGGAGACAAGCCAATGAGCGTCTAAAGCCCAGGTATACTAAATTTGCATATCTGGTCAGTGATAACGTATGCTGCGCTGAGAAACAGGGCAGAAGCAACAACAACCACAGGATTGTGAGGGGGGGCTGCACAGAGGTAACGGTGTTAAGCAGCAGTATAACACATAAGATGATGATGGTACACCAATCGAATTAGACATTGAATAGCAGGAGCTGCACTGAGTACAGGGCAGACAACAGCAACAATAGCATATAGGGCTGCGCAGAGTAATTACTGTGCGAGGCAGCAAACACACATGAATAGAGGTAGCATAAACGTGAATCAGTCACTCACCG